ACTGATCTGCACTGCTGGGTAGGATCGACATCAACTTAGCTTTGGATTCAACAGTGGAGGGGAAGTTAAGAAAAACATCCCTTGTAGCACTTTCTCCTCCACATTTTAATGATGTAAAACCATATTAAACACTCAGAGTAACCTTCAATGTTGTCTGGACCCCACTTTCAGATTTGCAAAACCTTTATTTTATTTGTGAAAATGCAAAGGAAAAGGGGATTTTTTTCACGTCTTGAAATTAAGGACAAAAAAATCTTTAAAAAACAAAACATGAAAATCTGGCATGGTTATATTATTATTGAATTTAAATAAAGTTCAACTAAAAGTATAATTTTACGTTTGCAATGTCGTAGAACAATTATTTATTAACCAAACAGGGAACATCTGTAAAATAACACATTGTTTAAAAATAAAGACAGTAAAAACTGTTAAAAACAATCAGTTTTACAGTGTACATTGTCCAACATGACATGACATGACACTTCAGTCACACATTTCGAAGCAGCATCGGATTTAGAAGATAATCGTTCATCTGAGCCAGAAAGATTACATCGCTTCAGTCTTCTCTCCTGGGTCCGTCCATGACAAATCAATCAGATCCTCTCTCCTGATGTTTCATCTGCAGTAACTTTCGTAGATTTAATGAAGCCATGCAAAGTTGTACCTTCATACTATGAATATTTTCACAGTTACAGGCCCTTGAAGTACACAGAGGTGGCCATTTCTCACTTTTTATTGGACATGACATTGTCCAACATGACCAGCTACCTGTCCAAGATTTACCTTACATTAGCACTAAGTCAGCTCGGATAGAACGGGAGTCTGTTCAAGCTGACTGAGTGCTAATGCAGGATTATTCATTAGTTGCAGTTTGTAACTTCACCACTAGATGCCACTAAATATGTCACACTGGTCCTTTAAGGCCTGCTTGAATAATAAAAAAACCCACAAAAATAATACAAGAGAAAACAGACTGAAGGCTTCTTACCATTGAAATCAACTCTTTTAAGTTTTTTTTTTTGAAAGAACATAAAAGAGACGTCCAGTTGATTTCTGCTGAAGCTCTGAAGAAATCTACTCATACATATTCAGTATCATACATACAGGCCTTGTTGCTTTCAGCACTGTAGGAAAATATAATTACATATTTAAACCATGTGTTCACATATGTTAAACACGCTTGTGGATTTATATCATGACATATGCTGAAACACAATTATAACACATAATCAAAGGACTGAAAGAAATCATAATGCATAAGAAAGCTTCATGTGAAACTCTAGGATGTCATTGAAAGACTCATTAAGCAACGGGAAAACGACATCATAATTCTTCCTGTATGTCTCCTCTCTGCATTCCTGTTTAGTTTGATACTTCAGTTCTGCAGATAAGGTTTTATATGGTACCATAAAAATGTAATTCCACAGAAACACAAACAACAAAGCTCCAATAAAACGTGCCACAGTTCAACAACTGTTAATGAACAGTAAACATATA